GTGAACAGGTGCAAGCCTTCTCTCTCTGCAGCCATGCCAGCAGAGGGGATGATCTCCTACTAACATTGCAACTGGGAAGAATGAGGAAGCTCATGGGAAAGGAAAGTACATATGAAGACACTGAATTCAATTTCCTATTAAATCAGATCAAGACAGCATTTTTTAAAAAAGGCTCAGCTTTTAAAATCAACAAATTCTGGAGTTTGTTAAGTTCTAAAGAGGCAATGTTACTAATTTAAGCATCAAGTATATCCTTTCTGCCAGGAGCCATACTCAAAATTGAGGGTGAGATTTCCAGTGCATGTATTTAAACCTGGAAGTGGGGTGGCTCTGCACTGGCCTGAGCCAGCAGTTCAAGAACCACAGTTGACAGAATACGTCACGGTAGTTCAGCTGGTTTAAAACCACCCTGCCTATGAGAACAATGGGGAAATTCTAAGAAATGCTAACAAGTCTCAATAATCCATCTATTCTGTAGCTGGGTGGGGAATTTCTGTTATTTTTAGGTGGGGTTTTTTCGTTGCTTTTGTTTCTTCTTCTTGGTCAACTTGATACTGGCTTTATTTGCACTGTCACTCAAGATTACAACACTAATTAATTCTAGGGGCTTGCTGCTTCTACATCGTGATGTCTTCAGACTATCAAACTGAAATAGGGTAGTACTTTCAGTAGCCCAGCACATCAAGTTATTTGTATTAATTTTAGCTTCCAGATCCTACTTATATGCCTGATAGTGAGACACCTCTATCCTAATCTCTGTTTCATAAAGAAAAATAAAAAACAGTGGAATAATTTCTACCTTTAAAAAAAAAAAAAAAAAAAAAAGAAAAAAAGCTTTACATATCCTCTTAGCTCTCAGGACCAGTTTCTGTTGCTTGTTAACTTTGCCTTAAGAGAAACCATATAGAGGAAAAAGATGAAGAGAAGGGAAGTTCATCCACCTAATATATCTGCCTTCTTCCTTAAATGACAGAAGCATTAGAGAAAATTGAAAACATACACTTGGGAACACCAGTACACAGTCATGTTTACCTCCAGAGAAAAACAACAGAGAAGATTTGACAGTTCCTTTCTGGTAGCAGGAAATAAAGTCCTAGGAATACAGTAAGTAATGTTTCATATCTGATCTGTTTCCTGCCTTTTTTTCAGTAATCTCGAAATGGTGCAGACACACATATATCCACAAATTTCAACTTCTGGGGTTTTTTTAAGCATTAGTATCCACTTTTAGTACATTAGTAAAAGGGTTTTATTTTCCTTTTACAAATAGAAAACAAAGAGGGGAACTAAGGTAAAGACTGGAAAAATTGTGTATTCTTTCTTTGCCTGGTCTTGTTTCTCATATACCCCAAAATAGGTAATCAAAACCACAACTTGTTCAAATTGAACAAGTAGTAACTAATCTTAAAGCATTTCACATGGCTACAAAGGTGTGATTTGAAAATGAAGAAGAAAACCAATTTGGAGCAGATACTTAAAAAAATCACAAATCAAAAGCATCTGTACAGCATTTGGGGTCAGCAAAACCTGGAGGACTTGAATTAAACCTTATTGTGGCAGCTAACAATGAAGAGGTAAAGGATGAGAGGCAAGCAGGAGGTAAACTCAAAGGGAGCTATCCGAGCATGAAAGCACCTTCACTACTTTAAACAGTGACACTTAGTGAAAAACAATATTCAAGTGGTCTTAGACTTTGAAGAATCAATAAATAGCTTCCTTTTGCAATTACCAGTTCTTTTGTTTCGGGGTGTT